TACAGTAAACATTAGGATTTTGTATTCACATCAATGCAAAGCAGGGTGAATAAAAATTATTTTAACAAGTGCTTAAAGTCTAATTGATTATTTCTTATATTAGTTCTGATATTTTGTTTATAACATAGTGATAATAGTGATCTATACATTTATTGATATCGAAATATCGAAAAAATAAAGGCAGAAAACCTGATTGTGGAGAAAGATCATTTCTGTGGAAAGGAAATACAACAGTATTAATTATTTATATACATTTTATTAACTATTAAATAGATTTATTAAAATGAATAATTTCCCTCTGGGATTATTAGAGCATTTCTAATTCTGATTACAGTCTTTGTGCATGACTTAGATTTTTTTGCAGTGGCAATAATATGTGTATACATATATATATATATACACACACACATAAAGGCCCTGACGGCCCACCACTGATATATATACATACACCAACATTTGAGCAAAAAGTTGATAAATGGGTTTCCTTTGCAAATCATCTTATAAATCATATGTTTATGTGCTTAATATTGTAGACGGAGAATACTAAAGATCAAAGTCTGTTTTTTCCTTTAAAATGTCAAACTTTTTATTGTAGACACATGCAATTTAACATAATTACTTCAGTGTTTTAAGAAGCCGAATGACTCCGTCTCCCATCAGAAGCCTCTCATTGGTCGACCCCACCAGAATCCCGCCTTCCTCCCTGTCCTCATGCACGGAGAACTTTACGATATGAGAGTGTAATGACTTGTTCTTATAAAAGTCTTAGTGCAAGGCTTCTGGCCGTAGGGATATCAGGAGACCAAGTGGTTCCACTCCCACGTAGCTCCCCCAGATGGAGGCGTCCCTGTCTAGGTGGATCTCCCCTCCGCCATCTGCCTGGTAGGAGGCGGAGGAGCTGAACACCACTCCTCTCTCATCCGTGGATCTAGCTCTCAGGGTGACCACCTGTCTCGGCCTCAATCCGGCCACTTCCACCTTAACGGGCTCGTCAAACAAACATGGGGCCCGTGGCAGCAGTCTCAGTCTCACCTGAAGCCTCTAAGAATTTACAAACTCTAAAACAACTGACAGTGGGGATAAACCAATACAAACATGGGGCATCCATCACAAAAGTCATGAACACTTTTTCCTGTCTTTGTGGACTCTTTCATGAACTTCCAATCGTTAGTCCAGGATAAAATCTTTTCAACAAGTTCCACAAGAAAACAATCACTCACCTGAATGGGTTCTTTTATGGACATTAAGATTACTTTTTACAGAAAAACCCTTCCCACATATAGGGCACACAAAAGGTTTCTCACCTGAGTGGGTTCTTTTATGGGCATTAAGATTACCTTTTAAAGAAAAACCTTTCCCACATATAGGGCACACAAAAGGTTTCTCACCTGAGTGGGTTCTTTTATGGATACAAAGATTATATTTGACAGAAAAACCTTTTCCACATATAGTGCACAAAAAAGGTTTCTCACCTGAGTGGGTTCTTTTATGGTTATCAAGACTTATTTTTACAGAAAAACATTTTCCACATATAGTGCACACAAAAGGTTTCTCCCCTGAGTGGGTTATTAAATGGCGATTAAGATAAGGTTTTACATGAAAACCTTTTCCACATATAGCGCACACAAAAGGTTTGTCACCTAAGTGAACTTTCTTGTGACTGTAAAATTGCGAACTGGTTTTGAACCTTTTCCCACATGTTGGACATAAAAAGGTTTTTTCCCCAGTATGACTTCTCATGTGGTTCACAAGATCTGACCTTTGAGAAAAACATTTCCCACATACTTCACAAGAAAAAGGTCGCTCACCGGTGTGTATTCGCATGTGTTTCACAAA